CCTGGGTGTGAGTGCAGCGTGTGAAGCTGCGGGTGTGCAAGCCTGGGCTGTGAGTGCAGCGTGTGAAGCTGCGGGCGTGCAAGCCTGGGTGTGAGCTGTGGCCTCCGCCAAGTGGGGTTGGACAGGACGTGGCCAGAGGGCGTCAGGGACCAGGGGAAGCAGAGCTGTGGCCGCCGGCCTTCGCTTTAATGCGTCTCTACAGCATGGAAGGAGGTGGTAGCACTGTGACATAATGACGCAGACACGGGCTCTGGGAGCAGGGGCGGCCGGCTGCATCGGAACTCGAGACCTCGGGTCCCTGCGCTGAGTGTGGGCGCTCCTGTCGCATTAGCTGCTTCCCAAGTGGAAAGAGGCCTTCAGTCCTCCCGTGGAGGGCCGGGTGTCCTGCCCCGGGTGCCGGTGCCTGGATGATTACATTTTGGAATCCACAGCAGAGCTCCCGGTCAGCTACCAGACCTGGCGGAGGGGGCCTGGGAGCCCCAGGCCAGCAGCAGTGTAGTGGGAAGACATGAGAGTAAGGAAAGGTTTCTTATGTCCCAGGACACAGCAGAGAGGGAGGCTGGCTCGCTCTCACGCTTACTGGGTGCCGGCCACGTTCCTTCTGCGCCCACCGCGGGGGTACAGATCTGCCCCTGAAGTGCCCCAGGTCACCCTTAGAGCCAGAACCTGGTCTTACGTGTATAAACCACATGTGCGTGTAAAATGTAAACGCAGAACACAGTGCATGTGCTAAAAAATGTGCTAAAATGGTCACTGTGTGGACCTGAGTGTGTAATTTGGACCATTTCCTGCTCATTCTCTACTTGATTTTGTCTGCATCATAGCATAATTGCTATGCAACGACAGATTTCAATGTCCTTGATACTTAAATAAGACATCTATTATCCTCTCAACAACTCTGAAACAGTAACAAAGCAGGTTTATAGATGATAACATGATGCTCAGGGAAGTTAAATAATTTTTCTAAGATCACACATGCCAGAAAGCATCTGAGCCAACACAGGTCTATTTTTTCTTTCTTTCTTTTCTATCTTTCCTTTCTTCTCTATTCACTTTTGGGGGGGAGTATAGGTTGAACTCTGGGCCTAGACTAATTCAATCCTGTCCACATTCTGAGAGAGAGAGAGAGAGAGAGAGAGTGTGTGTGTGTGTGTTCGGCCCTACAGCTTAAACTCTGGGCCTGGGCACTGACTCTGAGCTTTTTGCTCAAGGCTGGCACTACCACCTGAGCCACAGCGCCACTTCCAGTTTTTTCTGAATAGTTTATTGGAGATAAGGGTCTCATGGACTTTCCTGCCTGGGCTGGTTTCAGATCTCTGTCTCCCGAGTAGTTAGGATTACAGGTGGAAGCTACCGGAGCACTGCTCTGTTGGTGAGTTTTTGTTGTTTTCCAGATAGTTTCCTCCTAATTTTTGCCTGGGTGGGTATCAAACCACCATCCTCTTGTAGCTGGGATTGCAGGTTTGAGTCTCCATTCCCAATCCTTTCTAAGAGATGCACATAAGGTACGAGGCTTGGGCCGCTATTAGTGTACACACTATCAATGAGCAGAAAAGAAGAATTTCCACATAGTATCCTTTAGGGGTAACTGGTGTTACGGCTAAAGGTTGGTGTCACCGTGTCTTATACAGAAACTCATGGTGATCTGCTGATTCCAGATCCAAGATTTTCTTTGAGTTGTGCAGACTGAGAGGCAGGGCCTGTGGAGTGGGAACGCGGGGGGCCACTAACGGAAAACAGGACCATGGCCCTGGGGGCAGCACGGAAGAGCAGGCCGCTGGGAGGGAGCAGAGACCGCAAGGGACCTCGGGTGAGCCCCGGCTGGCAAGAGGGACGGCAGGTGTCTCCCTGTGCTGCCCCATGGTGACTGTGGTGCCGTGGCGGCCGGAGCCTGGCACCCCTAATACTACGACAGAAAAAGACACGTCATGCCTTTGACCTGCACCTTGACTTCCATGGCCTGTGTGGGAAGACAGAGAAGAGAAACAAGAAAGTCAGTCGGTAAGGCGGGAGTCCAAGACATGTTATTCACAGCATCTTAGCCCGTTTCTCTGCCAACACAACAGACACTCAGATGTCCCGGGAGCGTGGTGACGCAGCCCGGTCCCCCGCACGGCTCTCCAGGTCTGGCGTCTTCCCCTCCCCACGCCCCACTTTCCACTGGCGTAAGCCACACACTGTCTGCTACGGGACCAAAGACTGCTTTTTCTTCCTAACGCTGTCACACAGTCAACTCCATCAGACCTTTGGCCGTAAAAAGGAAAATGACTGAACTCTAGGACAATTCTTAGGCTTCCAAAGAGGGGTTCTCTTTTAAAAGAATAAAAAGTGCTCCAGCAGTACTCGGAGTGAATGCAGACGGACCGCCGCACGACCCAGGCCCTGCACACCACCGTACACCGCTCCCGACCCAGCAGATTCCACTTTCATTATTTCCCGCTGCGAAGAGGAGACGTCACTGCACAACTTCAAAATAATTTCACTTCTCCACACTCAGGTCAGGAGTGGTTTATAATCAAGCAGACGGTGCCACATAGGACCTTGGGGTTTTTTAGCCAGGCTTTTCCGTCTCCAGGGGAAGGGAGTTTGATAGGACACATTGCTGGTGCTGTCCTGCTACGTCAGACTTTGACGGAAGGTAAACATGCGTCGGTGGAATTTGTGCATCCAGTTGGGTGCAGTAAAGGCAAGTCAATTGACAACGGGTGTCAGAGCAAAGGGACAAGTTACGGGAATGTCAGAAAATGAGAAGTGCGTCGGAAGTGCGTATGTGTATATGAGAGAGACAGACGGATTCGGGTGGAGAGAGTAACGGGCGAGGCTAGCGGAGGCCAAGAGGAGGAGTGTGTGTGCATGGGTGTGCATGGGTGCATGGGTGTGCATGTGTGTGCGTGTGGGTGCGCGTGGGTGTGGGTGTGCATGGGTGTGCGTGGGTGTGGGTGTGCATGGGTGTGCGTGGGTGTGCGTGTGGGTGGGGGAGAACGAGTAAGATGTGAGCATCCTGTATAGGACAACAAAGAACACAGCAATAACGGAAGTGGAGTGCGGAAATGAAAGAGAAGCAATAGTAAGAAGGAAGGCTGGGACAGGAAGGTCACGTGTAACTCCGGAACCCTCAAGGCACCTCTGTAAAGCGATCCACTGAAACTGTACTCTGTGAGCTGCTGCGGCTTCCCCCACAAGTCACTCTGATTCTAGCATTACAACTCTGAACTCTCTAGTTCACGACCGTGGTCAAGGAACTGGCATTGCTCGGGCTGAGCAAGCTCTAACTTCCATTCCCCGCCGAGGAAGCTGCTGACACTGTTTTCCCACAGAAAACAAAACAAGTTTAAAAGACAAAACAAAAATATCTGCTCAGCTTAGTTACATTTAGATTAACATATGTTGGCCAACTGGCGATATATAAACAAAATAGATAGTGAATGTTCAAAAACACGCTGCATCAGCTTCCAGAAAAGCAGCATTGCTGTTTTTGGCCTTTAGTTCAGAGCTCCACTGTGAGCGGGGTGCCTGTGAGGCATTCCTTCCGCTTCTCTTCCATCTGCAACAGTGTGTGCTGTGTGTCACGCAGCACTCACACACACGCCCCAAAAGCCTGCCACCTGCCCTGTGGGAGGTTTCGTTGATACAACCCAGTGCTCAACGTGGAGCCGAGGTGAAAGCAAGCAAATGTGATAGACAGCTGCCCGTCCCGACCAGGCAGCAGAGAGAAAGCAATGCTGATGGACGCAGCTACCGAGGGACAAGGGGGTTCACTATCTCACAATCACCTGCTGCCCTGTGCTGGAGATGAAGTCAGGAAGCAAGCTCGCCAGTCACGCAGGCTTACTCCCCGCTCCAGCCTCCACTGCGGCTCCGGGAACAATGTGAATGAAGACTTGCTGACCTAAGGACCACAGTGGTACTGGCATCTCCGGAAAGAGCCCCCAGTTCAGTTATACGGTAACTTTGGCCTACCCCAAGTGGCTCAGAAACAACTGCTACACATTGTCAACGGAATAAAATGGGTTTGCTCTTGAAGACTGACCTTACCAACCGAGAAGGCGCGGGACTCTGAGCATGACCACCGCCAACAAAACCCACAGACCATTCTCCTCACTCAGTGATGCAGCTGAACACAACTGCAGGTGCGTGTGTTAGTAGGTGAGTTTTTAAAGGTCTTTTCTGTCGTCTCATCTCTTTCTGAATGAACACCCAAAGGTCAAAGTGTCTACTCATCACCGGAGGGCTGAGGCCATTTCCTGCCTCTCTCTGATCCAAATCCTAGGTCAGGGTCATTTTCATTCCTCACTTGCCATCCCTGCCAAACAAGCCGGACCCTGGTTAGTTCCAGGCTGGGCCGCGGATCTGAAGATAACCTGGGATTTACTGAGTTTCTGAAGAGGGATGGAGGCGAGGAGGCCTGTGGTGGCCATACGAAGCCCCCATGGAGCAGCTTCTGATGAGCTAGGTGTCTCCGAGACAGAGTCCTCCCCCACCCCCCCAAAAATCCACCTCCTGTATCTCCAACCAGCAGGCAAGCTTACCAAAAGGTGCGTGACAACGAGTAAGTTCAGTGACTAAAGCGCAGAAGGCCGGGCTCTCGTAAGATTGCTCGCAGCAAGGCTCCTCTGCTCTGTGTGTGGCTTTGTCTGCCAGCCTCTACTAAGCAGCCCACACGCAGCAGGAGTGGAAGACGTGCCGGTGTTAGTACAGCTAATGGGGGCGGGGGGCTCAGAGGTGCTGGGCTGCCAGCGCTTCCTCCACACCGGAAGACTCCAGGCGGGGTGCATTCCTGGGGCAGCAGGTCTACAGGCACGCTCCTCCATCCCCGAGAGTGACTGGAAGGGTGCAAGCCTACGACGCCCATCTTTCCAGAACTGACCTCTGCATCGCAGGGCCCCATCATCCACCTTCGCACCCCCAGAGGCAGCACCGCGCCAGCCCAGGGATGCACAGCAGCAGGGCTCAGCACCGCAGCAGCACCGCCGGCCCTCAGGGAGGCGTGTTTAATCAGAGTCAAAGTTAGGGTAAGCCCTGGCCTCGGGTAACAAGACCTCCTGTGGGAGGCTCTGCGAGGGTGGCTCAGAATTTTCTCCAGTCAGGACAGTGAGGCCTCAGGGCTCAGGCTCAGGCTGGGCTGGGAGGCCTCTCCGGGGCTCAGGCGGGCCTCAGGGCTCAGGCTGGGCTGGGAGGCCTCTCCGGGGCTCAGGCGGGCCTCAGGGCTCAGGCTGGGCTGGGAGGCCTCTCCGGGGCTCAGGCGGCCCTCAGGGCTCAGGCGGGGCTGGGAGGCCTCGGGCTCAGGCTCAGGCGGGGCTGGGAGCCAGAGCCGCCCGGCATCGCATCCCAGCCCACCTCCCCATGCTTCACCCTTCTCTCTGTCAGACACGAGACTGACGCGCCATCTTTCAAACACTCCCTGCAGAGATGGGCAAACGTTTGGCGTTCAGTACGAGGTCAACACGTCTAAAATAAAACAAGCACTAGTGCTCCAGACAGGAAGAAACAAACAAAGAGCGAGTGCCACCAGCATCACCACAGAGACGCAAGGTCATCTCCCCGCCCTCCCGCCACAGGAAGTTTCTATTTTAGAGCCACCAACAGCGGCTCCGGCCCTGGAGACCTCTTGACTGCCTTAGGTGAATCTTGAAACTTAAACTTTCTGACGTCCAAGCAGCTATTTACTGATAAAATGTGATGACTGAGCTTATTTGAGAACAGTTCCTTCCGCTCATCCTCAAAGACACAGCCGCAGGAGCTGGTCTTGTAGTTTGACCTACACGAAGTACGCACGAAGACCACAAGAACTGACAGGGTTCCACGCCGCACCCGCAGTCCAGGATGCAGCTTGGAACTGACTGTTAATCGAGGACTTACTTTGGACATCTTGCTTTTGCTGTCTCCAGTCAAAAATGCCAAATTATTAATTTCATTCTGAATCACAAAATTTTGCTCTTCTCTCTTGAAGTTCTAAATGAGGAGACATGAAAAGCAAACATCACAACAAAGTTCCCAAGGTCTGCACCTCTGGTCACCTCCCTAACTCGGGCCCCAGAGGTATCCTCACATGAGATTTGCACCACAGGATGAAGACCTCTGCCACCATGCGGAAAAGCTGATCCGAGTCAGCATCAGGGCTTTTCAGCCAGTTAGACCTGAAAAACAAACAAACAGGTAGATGAAATTCAGAAAGGATTAAAATGCCCACACTCTAAAAATGATGCCTTCCCACACAAAGGCAATCAGCAAGGGTACTAAAAGGTGGGCATCTCTCCTCAAAGTACCCATCAAACTGGGGTATGTTTTTGAAAGATCTCCAGGGACCATTTACAGTTCTGCTAGAAGATTCAAGGAAGGTCTTAGCAAACGAATGTCAGAAGTCAGTATTGCAGGTGGGGTCGCAGCCCCAGGCCATCACAGCCCAATCCCAGCCTCCTAACCGCTTTGTTTCTGTTCTTTCCGAGTTAGAGTGCCAACGCGGCTTCTGCCTGCACAGGTACAGAAGGACTTGAAGGCCCTCACATGCAAGGATGTGCTTCTAAGCCAGGCTCCACGGCCATGACACTCAGGAAGAGCCGAGAGCAGGGTGAATGAATTAATGATGATCTCAAAGACGCTCTGACATTGCCGTATTTAGCAACTGTCAAACACCCTACACAGTCTTGAGTCCCGATCATCAGTAGTGACGAATGCAATTAAAGATCTATTTCTGTAGCAACCTTACTCTACTTGTATTTTTATTTGCACATTAAACTCTGACAGATTTCTTCTTCCTTCTGCTAACGTAATTATGCTATCGGAAATGACTAAAACGACCCTCAAAGCAGGGATCCTTTTGTGAAGATGAGTATCATTTCCTGTAGCTAGGTGAGAAAACAGTTTCCAGTGTGCCTGTAAACGCATTTTATCTGTACCTAGCTATCTATAGATAATGTTTACTTTGAAATGCTAAATATACTCAAAAAATGACTTCAAACAAGTACAGCTGCTTTGTAACGTGAATGCTAACTTAGCCCGCTGTATTTCCTGCCCCCGACGGACAGGGTGGGCCTTTCACCCCTCTCAGTGTGTGACGAGCCGAGCCGTCTCTGCTCAGGGGTCACATTCTCAGAATCACCCTGCTCAGCACCTTCTCCATCCTACCTAACTCCTATCACCCTCCTGGACATCATCTGCTATGGGTTTTGTTGATGGTTCATGCTTCCCTTGGAAGCTTCTAGACCAGACAGTTATTTCACTCCTTCTTTCCACTAGAACAGAGCCAGCCACAACCCAGGAATAGGAGCTGAGTGAATGTGCGGGGCGGCAGAGGGGTAGGAATGGTCCTCTGTGCACGGCCTGGCTGGCAAGCTGCCTCTGACGTGGCTGCTAAGGATGTGGGTCACAGTCCACACAGAATCCCTGGTCAGAGGCCTGCACCGGCCATTACAGGGGCAGTGTGGGGAGGCTAGGGTGTGGGGAGGCTGGAGGGGAGGCTGGGGGTGCGGGGCTGGGGGGGCTGTGAGGGCTGCGGGGGCTGGGGGAAAGGCTGGGGGTCACCAAGTCACCCCACATCACCCCAGCTCACACATGCTGGGCTGTGCACCCTGGTTCCTAGCTGAGGCTTCTCAGAACCAATTCCCCTTTTCAGAAATTGCTGGAATTAGGGGGTGGGGGTGGGAAGGGATGAGAAGGGGAAACAAAGGAGGAGGCAACAATGCTTGATAAGAAATGCACTCATTACCTTTTGCATGTAATTGTAACCCCTCTGTACAGTATTTTCACAATAAAAAAAAGACATAGCTGGAATCTCCACAGTCCAATCAAGTTACCCCTAGATCAAGTATGCACCTCATTCATCAGTCAGGAAGATGAGCAGGGCCACGAGGCGGGAAGGAGCCAGCGCCCGCCACCCCGCACCGGCCGCTGGCGACGCCGAGTCCCTGCGCTGGGGAGCCCAGGCCGAGGCCTCCTCCTCAGACCCAGGCCGGGGTTTGGGCCATGCATTGAGCTAGCCCCCCCCATCATCCCCTCACCGTCCCCCGACTCCCCTGCATGATCTGGTGTCCATGCTGCCCACACAGGAAACACACGTGCTGGGACCTGGGACCCACCGCGAACCTCCGGTCCTATGCTGAGACTCAGTGAAGGGTGCTTTGTAAGCACTTCGAAGTTGGGTTCATCTGCCTCCCTCAAATACCGCCATAGCTCCCTAGTACCCTCAGAGAGTACCTAGTACCCTCAGAGAGCACCTAGTACCCTCAGAGAGCACCTAGTACCCTCACAGAGCACCTAATACCCTCACAGAGCACCTAATACCCTCAGAGAGTACCTAGTACCCTCAGAGAGCACCTAGTACCCTCAGAGAGCACCTAGTACCCTCAGAGAGCACTTAATACCCTCAGAGAGCAACTAGCACCCTCAGAGAGCACCTAATACCCTCAGAGAGAACCTAGTAACCTCAGAGAGCACCTAGTACCTTCAGAGATCACCTAGTACCCTCAGAGAACACCTAATACCCTCAGAGAGCATCTAGTACCCTCAGAGAGCACCTAGTACCCTCAGAGAGCAACTAGCACCCTCAGAGAGCACCTAATACCCTCAGAGAGCACCTAATACCCTCAGAGAGCACCTAGTACCCTCAGAGAGCGCCTAGTACCTTCAGAGAGTACCTAGCACCTTCAGAGAGCACCTAGTACCCTCAGAGAGCACTTAATACCCTCAGAGAGCAACTAGCACCCTCAGAGAGCACCTAATACCCTCAGAGAGCACCTAATACCCTCAGAGAGCACCTAGTACCCTCAGAGAGTACCTAGTACCTTCAGAGAGTACCTAGTACCCTCAGAGAGCACCTAGTACCCTCAGAGAGCACCTAGCACCTTCAGAGAGCACCTAGTACCCTCAGAGAGCATCTAAAACCCTCAGAGAGCACCTAGTACCCTCAGAGAGCACCTAATACCCTCAGAGAGTACCTAGTACCCTCAGAGAGCACCTAGTACCCTCAGAGAGTACCTTGTACCCTCAGAGAGCATCTAATACCCTCAGAGAGCACCTAGCACCTTCAGAGAGCACCTAGTACCCTCAGAGAGCACCTAGTACCCTCAGAGAGT